CCACCAGGGAGGGCCATATTATCATTCTTAATGTCATTTATCGGTACTGGCAAACTAACAAGGGGAAGAGAAAAAGCATAGTATCTTGGTTTGGCTTTAGAAGCACTATTGTTTGCTTCTAAAGTAACACTACATGTAGTTGTATATGAACTCTTACTAATTTTTCCTAACAGATAGCTATGTCAGATTTACTTTTGTGTGTCTTTTAGCCAATTAGAATTGATAATAATGTATCAATCTTTATTGTTAATAATGAAGAATTTTTTCCCCACAACTTTTACAACCAAGAATTAACATTGGCAACAGTAGTCCCACGGTTGCCAAAGTGAATTAAGCTCATCCCATTTTAGCTAGTAAGATTTGATCGCAGGTGAAATGGAATGACACAAGAATGCCAAACAAGTTCAAAGGCAGAGGAGTGAACGCTTGCCCAATTATAAACTCAAACAAAGATAATTAATAAAATTTTATCATCATAATTATAGACCTCTTTGGTACTTTAGGCTGAGATACAGATCTTCATTATAATGGAAAAAGCATGATTTGGATGAAAGTGCCTTAGTGTCAGTAAGTGGTAAAATACTGTTAGTGTTGTTGATTATGTCCAGCCACACTCAGATACTGCCAGGCATTGCTATAAATATGTTATAATTATCCTTAAATATATTTATAAATATGTGTTTATATACATGTAACAACTTAAAATAATACTTCATGTTTCTCTGCTTCTGAAGACAAAGTTTCAAGAAGCATTTTACTAAAATAATCTCACTGGTTGGCAGAAAATACTTTTGAGGTAGGAAGAATATAAGTATCATTCTCTCCTTTTTTGATGATGATAAAACTGAGGTCCCAGAATCATATAGTACTTAATTAAGTGCCCATCAACAATTTCAAAACAAAAGGCAAGCAGTAACAATGAAATTCTGGATAATGGCTTCCCTTTCAACTGCTACTGCAGATATCTCTTAATTTTCTTATGCTCTGGTTAACCCATCTGCAATATGGGTCAGTTTTTTTTTTTTTTGGGGATAGTGATAGTCAGTAGTTCTGGTCCTCTCAAGATGGCTAATGAAGAATAATGATTAAAATGATTGGTACTGGCCCTCCCTGGTGGCGCAGCGGGTTAAAGCACAGCACTGAGAATCTGAAGCCACTTCCGCATGAGTTCGATTCCCGCCT